TTTTTTTTTTTTTGGAAAAGTGGAGTCCATAACGGGGTGATGAGCACAACTCACTTGAGATAGAAGCCCATCACTTATCTTGTAGGAAGCTTTTCTTGTCTATATATACACACACACTTATATCAAACTCCTCATTACAAGCCCCCTCCCAGTTTTCTTTATACATTTCAAATTATCCATGGGACAGAATGTGATCTTTACGTTGCTGGCAATACTTTGCTTGCATATCAACATTGTTGCGTCTCGAAAAAGCTCCATAGATGAGCATGCTCTTCTAGCCTTCAAATCTCAAATAACTTCTGATCCAAATAATATCTTGGCTAAAAATTGGTCACAAGGAACCTCGTTTTGTAATTGGGTTGGCATTACTTGTGGCAGGAGACATCAAAGAGTTATCAACTTGAATCTAGCATATATGGGTATAGGAGGTACTATTGCTAAAGAAATCGGTGCTCTCTCTTTTTTGAGATCCTTGATTATTAGCAACAATAGTTTCCTTGGATTTATCCCTGATGAAATTGGTAATTTAAGCCAGCTTCAAGAAATAGAGATGCAAGAGAATGAGCTAAACGGTTCTATTCCAACAAGTCTTGGATTTCTTGAAAATCTGCAGAAGCTAAATCTCTCCAATAACAGACTCTATGGGGAAGTTCCTAATAGGGTTTTCAACCTCTCTTTTTTGACAGTAATTGATTTAGGACATAATAGTCTCTCAGGAAGTCTTCCTACAGATATCTGCAATAATCTTCCAAATATGGAGTGGCTTAGAATTTCTTATAATCAAATAAGTGGAAACATTCCTCCAAGCTTGGGAGCATGCAGGAAGCTTCAACTACTTTCTCTGGGGTACAATAAGTTTTCTGGAAGCATTCCAATCGAAATCGGAAACTTGTCAAAGCTTCGAAGTCTCTATCTACTAGGAAATAATTTGATAGGTATGTTTAAAGTGGTTTTAATATACATAAATCTCCCAAAACATAATGTTTTCCAAAAAATTGTGAAATTGAACAATATTGTTAATCTTCCACATCATAAATATTTTATACATTCATAGTGACCTGTATATTGAATACGCCCTTTTACATAGCTACACTAAAAATTAAGTATGTACTTATCCCAGGAAATCTCAATTGTGCATTTTGAAATTGGGAACCTATTTTGGCCTATAAATTATTCATGCAAAAGCATGTAGAAACGTTGACCAACTAACTTATCTTTAATTCCTACACAAAGAATTAAACAAAAAAGTGATGCAATATTGAATACGGATAATTAGCTTTGCCAAATATTCCAAATGAAATTGGAAACCTATCAGAACTTGTATATTTAGATTTAAGGTTCAACTGTTTCAATGGTACGTAATTATATCTCCTAAACTTATTTTATATATTGAATTCAACGCTCTAAAAAGGATTGAGTGTGTCTAGACACCAAGGCCAAAACTTCAAACTTTTACTAGCCTAAATGGACTAGGCATAGAAAAAATATAAAGTGTGGTTAGGCGGCAAGGTCCATCTCGTGCTTAAATGTGTTTTTTAAAATACTTACTAAATCTATTTTAATTTGTTTATTTAGTGTCCTCACTAAGATTTATACCAAAATTTAAAATTGTCAAATATAAA